TTAAGTGCCAGCTAGTGTGGACAAAGACTGTCTGCGCTAAAGAAAGAGAGCCCTAAGCAGTGTGAACATGGGTCACTTCTACCCTTTGAAAATTTACAGAGTCTGTACTTCTTGGTTTTCTTCCTCTCCAGAAATCTCAGTCCATACGAAACCACAGCAAACTCTCTACCTGCACTCTTCTCACTACAAATGACAAAATTTCTTGATGCTTACCACAGCTTTTCTTACACGGGAACCAATGACAAATGAGAAAATAGCAATACGAGCTTTCTAAAAATAAAAATAAAAAAAACATTTTCCCTTATGTTCCTAAAATAACAAAGTCCTATGTTGCAGTTTTGCCTTGTGGCTTATGCTATAAGTTTTCCCATAAGGTTCTATGGCTGAAGTCAGTTTGGAAGGGAAAAAAAAAATGGTAAAACTCTTTGCTGTGTTAACAGAGACTGGAGTCATCTAAAACATCTTGTGAATTTGTTTTGAAAACACAGAATTATCTGAGTCAAAAGCAATAATGCAACTCCTTATTCCCACCTAATTCATTCTGACATTTTCTAAATGAAAGTTGTAATTTCAAATTATGTCATGTCAAAGTTTTCCTCAATGTACGTAAAATATGAAAACCTAAAAATAAATCTATAAAATAAAAAAATGTTTAGGAGATACATTTTTTCCATGAATTTCTAGTTTGCCTAGTGATACAGGATATCTCAAAAGTTAAAAATCACTGTCACTTGCACAATTCTTCAGTGTTTCAAAATTGACAGGATCTTTGCATTGGCAAAATGTAATGGTAAAGCACCACATATGCAACTCTGTACAAAAGAGAAGGCAGAAGAACTCCTTTACACCCAAAAGTAGAATTCATTTTTTATTTCAACCTAAAACTACAATCATGGTTAATTCTGAGGGACTGATTCTGATATTATTGACATTATTAAAATAGCCAACCTAAAGGAATGATAAACGATGTTAAGCATTGAACAAACCAGCTGCCTTCATTTTTCAGCTGGCACAGAATTCCTTCTTAAGAGACATGATCGGGTTCAGTGCCTGAATTAGAGGGGAAAACTCATGGGACTGTTTTACTCAGTAAGATCACACATAATCTTGTTGGTGTCTGACGTCCTGCATCTCTTCTTCATCCCTACTTTGGCACAACCAACAGGATTACCAGCAGCTGCTCCTGGCTCAGAAACAGATTATCTTGCTCAGAAAGAACTACTCTTGCTCCTCAGATAATTTCTATCTGGCTAACCTTTAAGTATTTACTTGGTTCAGCATCATTGTTTCTCTCAACAAAAACCTCTTTCCAACAGAGTCCTCAGTACTATTGGGTAATACACACTAGATCCTGCTGACAAAGAAATACTCGTTAAAATAGCGAATCTCTTCTATGAACATAACTCTGCTGCCTGATGAGAAGAGGCTTCCTTCTGCAAGGAGAAAACAACTGAGCTTCAGTGCAGCAGGGACAGTTTATGGTTTTGAGTAGATCTTTGTAGTAAACGAAGATCTCATCTCATCCCATCCTTTCACCGTAGGAGCACTATGAGAAATAAAATAGTTCATTAGGACTATCAGGAGTAATATCACCACCATATGAGCCTTAGATCTGTAGATCAGGTTAACATGTTGAAGACCAATCACACACTATTCATCAATATTAAAGCTCTAAATGTTGAAGGTGAACTCAAAATGCCAGCTAAATGCTCAGTTCTGGATTAGCTCTTCTTGTAGCACATATGAAGTCAAAGGGCAAGGGAGGAGTCATCTACACAGTATTGTACCATCCACACTTGTATTTGTAAAAAATGGTAGGACAGAAGAAGAAAGATAAAGAAACAGTATTTATGACAATTTTACTCCATAAAAATGACATCATTTGGCATACATGGAAAACAGTAGAATCCTGTTGGGCCACTTGATGTCTCCTTAGACACGGGGCTGAGAGCGGGATATTGCAGTGAATCCTTGAATATTTCTGATGCTGGATATATAGCTAGATCCCTCTAGATGGGAAGAGGATCAGCAACTAGAAACTCTCTAAGAATTAGGCCTATTTTGTTTGCAGCCTTTGATTCCAGCCTTTTAGATAGCTTCTTCAGAAGCTTCAATGGCCAGACATGTATAATCCATCTGGTCTTGTGAACGGGAACAGGTGAAAGTGACACTTTTAGGGCTCATTCCATCAGTGAAGTCTATGATCTGAATGAGAAAAAAAAAAAAAAAAAAAAAGTTCAGGCACTCCTGGTGCAGCTTTAGGCCAAGGCAGCTTCATGGGAGAAGTTCTTGCTGGGAAGACTGCTCTGGACAAATGCAGGGGCTGGGTAGCTGTTGTTGAGTTTGAGACATGTCCTCTGCTGTAAGCACAGAGCTGCATCTCTCCAGATAGAAGCAGCAGCTGAAAGTGCTTCATGCCTTGCCAGTGCTTAGTCAAAACATGACACATAACATTGCCTGGCTTCCCAAAGCACTCCCAGGTATTAAAAGCTTTATTTTTATACTAAGATTAAAGAAAACTTCAGATTTCTTCTCCTCCATGGCCCTCAGTCTTTTATATACCTGTACACATATGTCCCAAATGTTATTCCAAATAATAATAAGATCCCAAATAATAAAATATCCCAGAGATATTATAGGCCGCAGACTTGGTTCTTCCAAGAAGTCTTCATACAAGACTTTCTTTGCACTTGAATTTAAGTACACTGGTGTATATTCTTTTCATTTCTTTGATTCTGTGTGCAGTTTTATGTGGGGAAGCCTTTTTAATACACAGGACAATATTTTAGAGCGGTGTGAAGTAATCTCATTTGAGAGAGAAGTAACTTTCAGCGGCTGTGAATGACCATTGCCATTGAAAACCCCATCAGTGCAGAGGGACAGACAAAAACATATCTTTGTCCTCTTGCTTAGAGTCCTGTTTCTGGAAAAGCTACAGCTACAGAGTCCAGCTTCTGGAAAAGCAAGCTACACTTGCTTTTTCTCTTCAGCAATCTTAGAGCTTAGTGAAAAAGATGACCAATCCTGTTCACAAGCAAGGAACGCTACTGGAAAAAGTGGGTTTTGCACTACTTAAATCGGAGGTAAGAGGGAAAGCAGCATGGGGAAAAAAAAAAAAAGAGAGAGAAATGAGGTAAGGAAGGTGAAGTGCAGTGGATGACTGAAATAAATAACCTCAAATCTGCGCCTAAGATGGTAATAAGCTTTGAAGGATCCAAAGTTCTCTTAGCTGATCCTGTTGCATATGAATGAGAAAATTAAAGGTTAGTATATGGCTGAGGCTTACTTGTTTCTGTGCTGGTGTATGTTGCCTGGTCCTGAATGACAGGTCTCTCCTGAAGCTCAGCTGCAGCCATGTAACTTCAAGGCAGGAATGGTGACTTTTGTCCAAAGCAAAACACATCTATGACAATTGCTGGTTTTGTGCTGAGCACTGCTTTGGCTTGGAGCTACAGCAGTCTTGTAAACTCATGAGCACCACTTGTGTCACGTCTTAAGCTTAAAAGGCATCCTGTTTTCACTAGTCTGTCTTCAACTCTTGTTTATTTTTCAAATACTTTCTTTTTAACAAGCCGCAGCAGAGTCCAGTGCACATTATCTGCTTCAGTCAACTGGGGATATAGAATATCTGTATCCTAGAAAGACCCAAGAAGGCCTTGGGCAGAAAACAATTCCTGACAAGTAAAACACGTTAATAGATTTAGTCTCCTTTATGCTTGGCCCAGATTAGTCCCGCGCGCTCTAAAATAACTTCACGGCACAGAGCACTGGAATTATGTCTCCAAAACATTCCTAAGGCTTGACATGTTTGAGCTCTGCGTGTTTCATGGTCGCACACACAAACCAAGCATCAGTGTTGCTGGTGGCCCTGGGTTCTCTGTGCAATTCCAGTTTCCAACAGGCTGATACACCTGGACCTCTCTGCTGAGAACAGCACTTACAACCTGGCAAGTGAAGAGTTTATGAAGAAAGTGTGTCACCTCCACAGTGCCATATGGTAACAGAGTTCAAGAATAGATGAAATACCAAGGCTGAAAGCTACTCAGCCCATTAGCGGCCCCTTAACATTGGCTGAAGGCCAGTCATGGTAGCCCGGAATTGGACTTTGTCTACCCCTCGCAGGCAGCTACAACAGAGAGGTAGTGTATGTTTCAGCCAGATTCACAGTGTAGGTCCAGCACTTGCACGGGAGTCGCCTTGCAGGCAGCCCTCAGTCGCCACCAGTCCCAGGTGACAAGAGTGAGGAGGGCACAGGAGCACAGGGTGCCCCGGGGAGGGGACCACAGGCCGCTCCGGGTGGGGACCCTGGGCTTCCCCAGGGCTCGTGCTGCCCGCGGACGGGG